CATGAAGCTTCCTGGACATTCCGCAGACACAACTGGTTCCCTTAAAAATACTGGGGACTCTCAACAAGCGTTCCTATGTCACAAACATGGAACCTAAAACTAGGAAATTTCTAAACCTTGATCATATAAATTCCTAAACCAGGATACAAAGTTCTCATTCATAATAGAAATGTGATGCCATTATGTATAGAGAGTATATTGCATCTGAGGATGAGATAATAGAGATGTTGCATAGCAACCAAGTTATTTTTGCCTTGTCTCCATGCAGCTGCTATATATTTTTTCTCTTTACTGCTGCTGTCAACTGTGCACACAGAGGTGAGACACACTAATGTGTGTGTGCATATTGTATAACGATAACTGCATGTACATATGTATGTACATGAAACAGCTGCATGCCACAATGGGACATGGATAATGAGATACCTGTTTTATAGGGTGCATCTGGTATGGCCCTGAACAACTCGCTCAACATTAATTGATTTATCTACTATTATTTACAAAAATAAGTCATCCCTCTCTTTCTACTCCCCTGTATTTTTAGTGTAAATTAAATAACAGTCACAGGTGTAAGGTGAAACAAGGAGATCCCGTCAGAGCTCATTAAACTGCATCGGCTTTCTTTATAAAATTAATATGATGATGTTTTTATTTGCTCTCTTCATTTTTTTCTCTCTGGCTTTGTGAATTTGTCCTTGCTAGTTATGGGAAAGAATGCAGAATTTAAACGAATAACAAAACCCTGCACAGCTAAAGTAAACGGATGCTTCCTACAATCATCTTAAGGCCCAGCCTGTCCCAAAGTGATTTTTTTTTAGTTATAGGCTAAGTTACTATTTTATAGTTTTTAAGGACTCCATCAGCGGGATTTCTCTGCCATAGTGCTGAGTTCTGAACTTGACTCCTTCTGCTACAACCGAAGTGTTCCCACATCTCTTGCTGCTATCTTCAAATTAGAAAATACATGAACATCTAATAGTGGGGCCCCCTGTAATTGCTGCTTAAGGTGTACTTAAATGGCAATTGTTAGTCCATCGGTATCTATAAAAAAATGTTGCTTCTTAATAATAAAAATGTTTCTTAAACGGGGAGCCCACATTCAATTAAAAACTGGAAAGCTCTGTCTTTGGCTCACGTTTAGTGGCAGACCTGCCTCCATTTGCCAAACATGAATTTGGAAAGGTAAGCCAGGAGAATTTGGGCTTCTGACTGAAAGGTAACTGTATACAGGACAGATATGCAATGTCTTCAATTTCAGCTTTATTCTTACATCAGTAAACATCGGTGCATAAACATTACCCAGGCCATTTCTGTTAATGGGCGCATGCACTTCCAAAACAATACCCCTGCTGTTTAATATAACAAAGGGGCTGAAAAGTTTTTTTACTGAAAGGGGAACACTCCATTATTAGCTTTGTATACATCTTATTGTATGAAAAAGCATTTTAGCAGTGTTGTCATTCATGGCCTTGTCTGACTTTCAAGTGAGTTTTTCAGGAATATTTCTGTTTCCTCTCTATGCAGCATAGTGGTATGAGTATGAGCTAGTTCAGAATGTATTCCTTGCACACTTCCATCCCTCTTGCCATACCAATTTAAACAGAAGAAGTGCCCTGAGGAGAACAAGTACAACAATAATCCCTCCACAACCAGAGAGGACAGTAATGGGCTGCAATACATGTCTGACCCAATCGGGGAGGGGGGTTGTGAAACAGGGTTTAGAAGGGTGCAGTACTGCTTACATAGCCTAACATCTGTTTCTTCTGAATAAACACATGGATTGGATCTGCATACTCAGTGGAATAGTCCATGGACTCATAAAAAAACAAAAAAACAAATACAAATTGAGAAAGTTTCACTATGTCACTGGTTGAGTGCTACAGGATGTGCTTGCTTTTATTTTCAATGACTATGATTTGTTATTGCTTCCTGGGTAGACTGAATCATTTCAGTTATGATTGTTAATGTTCTTTTGAAGATTATTGCACAAAATATTTCGGTCTTTTTTAAAATGTAATTAATCTGAAATGTCAAAGAGCTGGAGTTTTTCAGATAAGGAGCCATTGTGAGCATAATGCTTAAATATATATCTCATTTAATTTGAGTTCCTTATGTTGCTGCATACATTCAAAACCTCATTGCAGTGTTGTCATGCACCAAACAAGGATGTTGGTAGGAGTATCAGGTCCAGACGCCTCCTCCATATAACTCATGTTGGGGGAATCCCTGTGCTTTGTGGAGGCAGTGAGTGGGGGAGGGGGGTCATGGGAAACCTCCCTGCACAGAAAGACACATGCGGAAGCTCCCAATGTACATAACACTTGGGCAGATTTAGAAAACCTGGAGCAAACATGGAGTTAACACACCTAGTTTTTCTCAGCATCATTTAAATTGAAATTACACAAGTTTTTCTTTTTACTATGGGGAACCACTCCACTTTTACTCTCAATTTTTTTTTGCTCAAGTTTTGGCACATGACATCAATCTAGACACATGATGACATCCCCCCTTCTTCCTTATCAGGCCAAAACCAGCCAATGTATGTTCTTGTGGGGGAGAAAATACAAAGCCATCATATGTTTGTGTATTTACAGGAAAAATACTACTGCAATTAATTTTTTAAATTCTTATATAGTTTGAAACTTTTTGGTTTTAGGACTTTTAGATAATATATGTATATTTCTAATATACATTAATGAGTGGATTTCAGTCCATTTGTTGTTTAAATGTCTACAGAAATGTGTGGACGTTCATATCTTTCACCTATTCTCTTCTATTGCCTATCCATGCCATACCAGTATACATTAAAAGATCTGTACCTGAGAATTTGCTGATTACTAGATTTGGTGCTATGACATAAGGGTTAAGCAGAGCATTGCAGATCATTAAAATGGACGCACAACAGACAGTTTGCGGTTTGAAAGCTCTAAAAAAATAATTGGAAGTGGACACATTTCTTTCACAAAACCACTGGAAAATGATAAAGTGGACTATAATGCTACAAAATCTAAAAATCCCTAAATAACTGTAAATATTTTCTGTTACTAGCATGAAGAACCCATATAAATGGTCTCAAAGCTACATACAAATCAGGAGCTGGATATTGGAGTTGTGTTAGAAAGAAAACATTAATGTGAGTTATGTGGCACTAGCTTTGGAAATTGGGGCCATGAAAGCCAGTATGTGCAATGCTCAAGTAACAAATTTCACAAAAATACACAATATCTAGTCTCAAAGGATAAATATGTTACTAGGAAAACAACAGTGATGACATGATCAGGAAAGATGCCAAAATTCTCAACCAAAACAAGGACGAAAGGAAACAGACAAGACCAATATTCTTCAACTACCATACCATAGGGTAGACTGAATGGACAAGGGAAAATAAAGGCAATACATTTTCTTTATGTTATGCGGTACACGGTATACGCAATACTTTTTGTACTTGCCAAGTCTGACAGCACATTTACTTTACACTTTCAAGCTTACAGTATTCCTGCTCTGCCTATTCTTTGTTTATGAATTCCATTTTTAAATATACATTGACATAAAAATGGAAAAAAATTGCATCTCTACATAACATTTCTTGTACTCATGACTATAGGTGCTTGTTTTATAAAGGTTAATAAAAACATTAAAAAAAAATATAATAAAAACACATACGTACAGACACAATGCTCTACTACACTCTGATCTCTCAAAGTTTTACTTCTCAGAATTGGTTCAGTGTGACAGAAAGTTTGAAACTGTGAAAGAAACACTACCCTAATAGATTAGGCAAGTTAATAGTAAGTAATTGCTACATGTATCCATGTTCTTTCAGCTGTTCATTCCTCTCTCTACGACATTATTACATTACATTTGCAGGAATATCATTCAGATGCAAAACTTAGTATGTGCAAACTGCAAGAATTTTTTTGTGGTTTTATGTTTTTTTTAAATTTGTTTTAAGTCCATCTTGTACAAACACTGGACAAAAAAAAAAGTTAATTTGTTTTTTTGTAAAATGTTTCTTTTAGCTTAATATTTCCCTATTGATTCTCTGTAATCATGTCAGCTCACATATGACTTCAAAGTTTTCTTTTCTGAAAGTGCCTTCTGTAAAGTAGTCCATTGGGACAATAATCGGTCACATCCTAGGTCAAGTTATACATTCATCCCTTTGAAACCACATTAAAACTTTCAACGTCTTGCTCTAAGAAGCTCTACATGGTTTCAGTGTTGAAAAAATACTTAACAGAAAAAAAATATATATATATTTTTGAAATACATAGATTATAAGTGAAATACAGTACTTAGCAAACATTAGACCAAGATGCTTGTCAATAAAGTGTGAACAGCATTTTAAGTGCTAAAAGAAAAAACTCCTCCTCCAGTTCTTGTTCCTTAATATGTCACACTAAACTTTGAAAATAAAAAAAGTGGCACCAATTGATACTAAAGAAACAAAAAATAGACATAAAATGGTTGTGCCCAGGATGTCAGCAAGTGATGTTAGTGCTTGTAATCGGCAGTGTGCTTTGACCCTGGGAAGCACATGCCATGTTTCCAAAACATCTGCAAGTTTTACTAATATGAATATCTGTCCAAACAGGAATCCGCTAGAGAGTTTTCATTCTTAGTATTTGCCTCTGGGTCCTGTCAAACTGTGCTTGCCTTGACAGCCAGACTAGAGATGTCATTCCAGCAGTTAAACAATTGGAAGTTAAAAATATTAATGAAACAAATAATTAAAAGGACACACAAATATTTTTTTTCTTCACAGCACATAAAAGACTTTTTAGAGCATGGAGGGATGTATGTCCCTCTAAAGTTGACTTGTGCAGCTAGGCTTTGATAGGATGAATTTAAAGTACTATAGAACAAGTGCCATTGGCCAAGGTGGTGTGCAATCATAGGTCTACTCAAAAGAATACATTGCCATCAAAAACTTACACCTAACCACACCAATATGACACACGGCACAAGTCTCTAACCTATGATGAGACCAGTTGAAGAAAATGTGAACACTGGACAATGACAACAAAATATGTAAATTGGTATTTCAGCATTGTCGACATGACAATGACCCTTAACTCTTGTTATCTATTTGTGCCAGTGACCCACAACATAAAGCTATACCACCCATGGGAAAGCTCAAATATCAGTATGCATGCAAGCACACACGCCACATGTGCACTTTTTTCTTTCTTCGTTTCCCTTGTAATCCTCTCTGAAAGATTTGAAAGTAGAACGTGGTTGAAATTTGAAATTGGCACCCTGCAACTAAATCACAGTAGCCGCACTTATACAACCCTCTCCATCAAGACTGCGGAAAGATTAGACTGCCTCTTAAGTAGCTCCCCCACATTCTAGCTACCATACTAGTGAACACTTGTGAAAAGAACATATGCACCAACAGCCTTCCGAAGGATACCAGCCGCAACTATAACAATGTTATAAACCTAAAATAAGATGATAACATGTAAATACTGGGTTATTTATTCTACAGTACAGTAATCTGAATAAAATGACAAGGGTAAGCCTAATTTCTCCTTTCTGAACAGGTTTCACTTCCCTACATTAGATCGACCCTCGATGGAAATCTTAACCTCCTGAGGAATAAAAGAGGGCTTGGGAAGAGTCAATGGTGGTTCATCTTCAGATTTCTCTAATTTTCGTGATTCTGGGGCAGACCACCTCCTCTTCCTTGTTGTCATGGGTTTACCAGGTTCTGTTTTGGCTTCAAAGGACACGGCATTCAATCCAGCAGGACACCTTAGTTCTCCATTCTCAGATGAAACCTGTACACTTCCCTGATTAATCCCATTCTCTTGTTCTGCATACCTATATCTATTTCCAGGCAGGCTGTCGTTCTTTGGGTGCTTCAGCAAGATGCTAGCTGGATCCATGGGTTGCCCCTTCTTTATTGAGCCATTTTTTAAATTCTTGAGTGTAAGCGATATGCAGACATCTCCTACCGACAACTTGGAACATGGCAAATCAAAGAGCTGGCTTGTTCTCTCAGGACTACATGATGACCAGCCTTGACCAAACACAAAGAATGGATATTCTATCAAGACTTCCACACTGACCTAAAGAAAAACAAGAGGAGATACTGAGTTTAATAAAGTATATGAAATTGAGATGAACATTTTTATTGTTCTACATAGCTAGTTAATGCCGATTATGTTTATTTGAGTCTGTTCCTGATGACGGCTCTTTGTATACCAATCTTTCTATGACACCACTTGTTGGTTTTCTATGTACAACTTTGTCTATTAAATAAAGAATTTACAAAAAAAAGTATATGAATTCCACTACCATCATTTTTGGGGTTTGGGTGCAATTCAAATAACATATGAGAGCTAATAATTATCGATGCACAATTACTAATTCATAAAAGAAAACTATCATACTTTTTGGTCAGTTTTTATTTCTTTTAATCTAATATGTATTATTTACTTTGCAAATAAAGATTTACTATAGGGTGCTCCCTTGCTTGTATAACCTCACATGGTGCGGCGTTCCCCCCCGCTGGTGCCCCCCCCCCCTCTGTTGCCACTGTCGGTTATCCCAGGCACAGAGAACAACGGCTCAGTGGATGCTTGTAGAGAGAAGGAAGAGAGTTCAGCATTTCCACCTTTAGCTGTAATTACTTTGTCTGAGAGCGAGAAGACGCTGATGAAGCAGATCTCTGCTTCATCAGTTTCTTTGGGGGTCCCTAGGTGACATTAGGGGTCTTGACTCCATAAAGAGGACACTAAACTGATGAGCGGTAAAAGCTTTTACATCGTGGCCTATAGCCAATTTTAGGTATGGTAGTTTTTTGCGATTGTGGGCACACGCAATTTTAAAGCTTGACATGTTTGGTGACGTGACCCCGTCTTTTATATTTGACCATAAAATTGGGTAATAATAAATGTTTTATAACATAACGTAGGGAAAACAGTTTAAAAAAATAAAATAAATAAGGTCCTTTTTTCATTATACAGTAAAATATTAAAACCCCAGTGGTGATGAAATACCACCAAAAGAAAGCTCTATCTGTCCCCAAAAAATGGTATAAAATTAATTCCAGTACAGTGTTGCATGATGGAATAAATGTCAGTCAAAGTCCCGCATTGCTGAATACTGAAAAATGGCCTGGGCAGGAACGGGGTTTAACACCCCGGTCATCAAGTGGTTAAAGGAATGTAAATAAGTATCACATTCAAGCTATATTTACAGTATGGCCGACTTTAATGCATTCAATTTTGGCTTCAGCGACTTAAAGTGAATGAGCTTTACTCAGGCAGGGTACCTAAAGCAGACCCAACTATAAATCTAAAGTATATCTTTTAAAAAGGAAATAGCACAGTTTAATGTTGCAAAGCAATCAGTAAAAATGATGTACCTTTGACATATAGTTAGAGCACTTCTGCACATGTGGCAGTATCTAGCTTTGCCCAGGCAGGGTACATAAAGTAGACCTAACTATAAATCTAAAGTTGGTTGTCTAACGTGGCTTCATTAGCACAGTTTAATGTTGCAAAGCAATCAGTAAAAAGGATATAACTTTGGCATTATGATTTTAAATTAGAAGCAGCAGAACACTTCCACACATGTGGCAGTGTCTAGGTACACCCCATTCTGCTAGTATCACAGAAGCCTATCAGAAGCCTATGTCTCCCAATTTTTCTTCTGATTACTGGATTACATTGACAGTGCCATCAAGGGTTGGGACATAAAACATGAAGAGCTGTTCAACAGAGAACAATGAATTAAAAAGTGGAGGATGAGTGTGAGGAGTCAAGGAAAAGATATGAGGTTGTCCCTCTTTATTGAGATGAAATCCCTTTTTTCCATTTATAACACAAGGGGGTCTATTTATAAACATTTTGCAGAGCCATTCACCCTGGGAATCTCTGTGTAAACTTGTGCTGTGCGGATAACACATTAAAAAAATTCACATTAGCGCCACAAGACATGATTAAGAGACCATTTGAAGAAAACAAAAAATTAACCAATAATTTCCCAACTCAATGGAGACAATGGATTGTAAATGGCCAACAGTTAGTCCTTGAGTGATATACTGTATAATTATGTGTGTCTGTGTTTATATACACACTTTTATTTCTTTATCTCTCCTGTTTTGTTCCTCTATTATTTTTTTAAGCAACTAGATCACTTACATTTTGCCCTTCCCACCTGCTTATATTTAACTTCCCTTCACCCCACAACTGCTCCATTAAAACTGTAATAACTCTGGTCAGAGTTTACAGAACAATGGCCCTCTTCCCTGTCCCCACATGACAGCATTGGTGTCTGGCTTGAGTCACATGCTCCCTATACCTGAGAAAAACACTATATTGTATTTAGGCCTAGGAGGGAAAAAAAGCATGCATAAAGCTCAGAATGGAACACAATCACTGTATATCTGATGCTACTTGTCCTTGAAACACCACAACATGCTTAAGAAATAACCAAAAACACAAAGCTACTTACGATATTAGTCATTCATGAACAGGGCTTATTCTTTAAGATTGTAGGTGGGGGAATTTAGATTGCTATACGCACATGATTTTATCGCACTTTCTTTTGTTCAATAACTAGAAACTACATTAAACAACTAACTTGTTTTAGCTTAATTTTTCAGACTTTTGTTATCTTAGGAAATGTGAGAGATGAAAGAGGCTAGCTCTCAATGCCCCGTGGCAGATATCAGTTGAATGAACATAAATATCCTATTTTATAATCAGAGTCAGAGTGTAAAAAAACAGCATCCTTTTACTATCAAGGGTTAAACATACAGTAACTACCTTATACAATTAAAATTTATTTAGAAGGAGAAAAGTTAAATAAATCTTTAGGGATTAGAAGAAAAGTGGGGGAAAATTTTAAATGTTCATTCACAAACAAGTTTTACATGTTTGTAAATGGGAATTAAACAGGTTATTTCCTAAACTGCTGGGAGCCAAGAGGCATCTATTTTAAACAAGGGGCAGAGCTAATCAAATTTTAAAGTGTATGTAAAGTCAAAACTGTTTATTTTAGTTTTGCATAGAATGTGGAAGGGTGAAAACTCTGCCAGGTTCTTATTTTTATTGCTGTCTGTGTCTCTGCTAGGACCCTCATTTTTTGCCCTGGTGACTATTGTCTCTGGTACAGAAGGTGATGGTAAATCCAACACCTCCTTAACAGGAGGTGAGGGAAAAACATCCAATGGGGAATTCTGCTTTGGTGACAACTGTCTAAGAGGGAATTCCCCAATTATTTTCTGGAATAGGAAGTAAAAAAAATTACAGAGGTCATACCATTTCCTATCTATATTTAAAACGAAAAAAAGTATTTATATACACTTTAAAAAAAATATCCACTGGTATCTGAAATTCTGTTATCCCAGTCAGGTAGTTTGGATCTGAAGTTAGTACAGCTGGAATAATTTGTTTATCACTAGGGATAAATTACAGAAGAGTTTGTGAGTAAAGTAAAATATATTTCTGCTGCCCTCTTATGAACCCTTTCAGGTTCAGGGTAATTAAAACCTTAGCGACCAGATCAACTTTTGAGATTTTGATTTGCAACCGATTAAATACCAAAAAACCCAGCGGTTTTTAACAGCTCTACGTACCAAAATTATTTTCACACCATTCTTTTGTGCAAAATGCAGTTTTAGTTTGTTTAATAAGCAACATAGTTTGTATAATTAATACTATTTGAACAATTTCCATTAATTATTTTTTCCTATTGATTTTGAGTACATGAACTCCAAATATGTGTAGGTTTTGATACGTGTTAGTGCTGTATGTTTAATCACATGGGCTGATCACGACAGGATCTGTGCACAGGTGTTCTCCTGATCACAGCAGTATGGAGCGGATGTCAGCGATGTGACATCCATGTCCATACAGTTTTTTCCTTCATCTTGCGATGGAGACCCCATGTGTGTCTATGGGGAATCTGATGTAAACGGACATGCGTCAGCTTACATCAGATTGCCCCCGATCCGACACGATCCAGTACGTCGAAACAGAACACTGTTCCGTTTTTTCGGACGAAATTTGCTAATATAGTAACAGCTGTCATTAATGGGTTGAGTTAAAAAGAAGAGACTGTTAACTTAATAAATAACTAATATTTCTAGGCTCAAAATTTGTGTGCACTTGCAGAATGGTAAAAATAAAGACAAAAATAGATTAGACCAAAAGGTTAGCTCTAAAATTATTTTTCCCTCTGCTGTGTGGGGGATATCTAATGTGTAATAGATATTTATGTACTTAAGTGTTTTTTAACTGTATGTGCAAATATGCTCCTATGTGGTGGTAGTAGGGGTGGAGGGGGGTCGGGTGGAAACTGGATGTCTTTTTATTTGTTTAAATATTTTATCATATTTAGTGGTGATAGGTTCTCTTTTCGTAGTAATCAAGGGTTTGAACGTTTACAAGTAATTGGGTGGCTTTATAGCATCACTTCTACATGCATCTCACAAAGGGGCAGGATTAACAGAAAACAAACCTGCAGCTGCCCTTGAAGTCGCACAGTTGTTTTCATCCTTTCACTGCAACTGCCATAACACAGTGGTAATGACAGGGTTAATCAAGCAGAAAATGTGACTGGTAATGGAGTGTATAGTGATCTCCAGGGTGAGAAGCTACATAGAAAATTGGACTTTAATTAACAACCTCCAGGTATGTGGAACTGCCCCGGATGTTAACTTACTGTAAGAGAGTCGGAAGCGGGTTAAAAGCTCCCCCGTCACCATTTGACCAAGAGAGTCGGAAACGGGTTAAAATCTCACCCGTTAATCGATCAAAAAGTTTAACAATTAATCAAGAAATTAATCTTTAATTTCCACAGCCCTAGTTTATATTGCTTAGAATAAGTGGCAATGTGTAGATAAGGGGAAGAGTGAGGTTTTTTTTTAACCTTTTAACAAAGCCTGAGATCTTTAACCTTTTGTTAACACAGACAGTCCAGTACATCTAGTTTACAACTGATAATGGAATTCTGTCAGAACAGTACAGACAGGGATAATTATGACAAACATAACTCTCCAGCCTACTTCCTTAATATGTAGAAATTGAAAGCTAACTAAGGTTTTTCAGCAATTAAAAAGAGCATAAAAATGTTAGCAGTAATTTTAAAATATTTGTTTTAAAGTGTATTTCCACTTTTGCAGTCAAATTTGGGAAAACCCCTCCATATATGTGATCCTATTCACAAAGCCTAAAGAAACCTGGCTGATTCCAGGTTTTTCTCAGCACCGTCACAGTGCTCTGTTCTAATGGAAAGGCTTGGGACTGAAATTTAAGGATTGTGTTTCTCTCATTCACTTAATTAACATACAATTGACAAGCCACCTCAGACCCCTCACCCCACACAGCCTCTCCTAACATTGCAAATAAAGATAAGCAAGTAGAAATGTTAAGCCTTAAAACCCAAAGCCATATAAAAGCAGCTTAAACTGCAAGCATTTAAAAAAAATTTTTTTTTAGCTTATGCTATGTGAATGGGAACATGTAACAAATATAAAATAGGTGTTATCTCAATTTGGCTGTAAAAGTGGAAATACACCTTAAGGTCCACTCATACCCTAGCATTGTGTTGCTGCACAAGGCAACCAGGAGGCATGTTCGGGTGTCGTTCAAATTAATGGAAACATAGCACATGTTAGCACACACTAGGTACACTATGCAATAGCATGCATTAACGCAATGCTATGGTGTGAATGGGCCCGCAAAGTTATGCTATGTGAATTGGGACATAAAGTAGGTGTTATCATAATTTTACTGCAAAAGTGGAATTACAGTTTAAGTTTAAAAAAGATGGAAAAAAATAAAAGAATAAAATATGAATATAAAAAAAAAATATATACACACACACACATATATATACATATACATATATACACATACAATTATATACTGTATATTTATAGCAATTATTACTAGGTATGTCTATGACTATTCAGTATTAATTAAAGGTAATGGCTGGAAGACACATTTCAAACAGTAATGCAATATTTCCCTCACCTGTGCTCGATGTTCTCCGACAGCAAACTGAACCACAGCAATGCCTGGACTATGGCTGTTCTCAATCCTTTCAACAGTGCTGGAGTCTATTTTCAGATCGTTGCTAATATCGGCGCTCTGTATGAAGTCTTCAGTTTTTAAATCTTCTACCTTCTTTAGTTCACCATTGGCCAGCTGAATGATTGACCCTTTTGTGAAATAAGGGGGCAGTGTGGGAGCAGCTGCCATTGGAGAAGCAACAGACTGTACTAGTGGGAGGTGAATTTGAGCTGGAACCAATGTGGTCTGGTAGGCTGCTTGAGTTGCCAGTGATTCAGCACTGTAGTTATCACTCTTAGGAATGGGCGTAGTGACAAAAGTATGAGGCACTGCTGCATATTGGGGAGATGAAGTGACAATAGTAGGTGCTACCCTCACCCCGGATGGTTCAATGTCTGGATTGCCAACAGGTATGAGCAAGGGCTGTGTGCCTGGAATAACCAAGTGCTGTGGCAAGTTTCCAGGGTAACCAATGGTCTGCTGCTGACTGCTGAGATAGCCAATAACTGGCTGTTGTGTACCCGCATAAAAGGCTGCAGCAGGCAGCCCAACAGAAAGTTGCTCTGCTGCACTATGAGTTGTCTGGATGACAGTGTGAGGAGATAAAGTGGCCATGGTTTTCACGCTTTCTGCGCATAAAGTCTGTTGTGGGGATAAAGCATAGGACCGGTGGGATGGTTTTCCTAAGTGTAAGCTTCCCTTGTTATGAGCAGTTGAGGGTGAGGTTTCTCTCTTAATGGTTTGTTGAACATCAATGTCTGTGGCAGCTTGGTTGCTGTTGGGCACCACCATGACAGAGGTCCGAACACCTGAGGGATCCCGAGCACTGAACTCAGTACTTGGGTGCATCACTACATGCCTTGTCTCATAATGTTGGGAAGCTGGTTTATTATTGCCTGCTTTCATTAGCTGTGCATCTGCTGAGGAAGGGACCAGAAATCTCCTAACCTTCTCTATCTCCCCATTTAATAATTCCTTGGCTTGTGACCTGAAACTGTCTTCTTTCTTTGTAGGGTCCCTAGCAATAAAATGAGCTCCTGAATCTGAGTACTGCACAACCACCTGGGGGGAAGTACCCAGGGTAAGTGTATGTGGAATCACTGGGTGGGTATGTAAATGGACTGGGATAGTTGATGGTGACAGATTTCTGACTCCACTCTGTGACGAGCTTAAATTATGCACATAATGACTTGACTGTGTAGGTGAAGATCCTGCTGTAATCAATCCTGGAGTCCGATCTAGATGTGTTTCACCTTTATGCCCCTGCTGGCTTAAACTGCTTACATTGGCCAACATAGTGGAATAAGCCTCCATCTGGGAACGTTGTGATGGAGTGGAGACTCCTGATGCTGTTGAGGACACAGCACTTGATGCAGAATTCGATGTAGGTGAAACTAGCTGCGAATTGATGAACCCTGCATACGATGGTCCACTATAATGCGGTCCAATAAACTGGAACGTTTGGGGCACATTAGCATATTGCACAGGAGACATTGATGCCCCTGACTGAGACTGCACAGTTTGATAAATGGCAGGACCTGTTGTTGCTGCTGGTAACGACCTTGGAGCACTAGGGGGGGAATAGTCTATACCAGTTAAAAGGGTTTTATGTAAACCTGCCCCCTGTTGTAAACCAGCTTCTACTGAAGTTCCTACAGGCCCATGATGACGTCCACCATGGCTGCTGGTGGGAAGCCATGATAAACTATCTGTACGGTGGTTTTCATTTGTCAGTCCGACTGTCTTTTCTTCAGAAGGTCGACTGGTGGCGGGAATTTCACGTTTCTTCGGTGGCAGGCTTTCATTGCTCCTTTCTTGATTAGATTTCATGTTTTGCTTTCTGCCACCCCCGCCAACCCCCACTACTTGCTCACTGCCTGACTGATACTGATTTCAGTCTGGTGAATGGAAAATCACATTTAATTCCAGAAGGAACCCCAACAACTTCATGAGGAATCATCTCCCTGGGAGCACAATCTTCTAACAGCTGATATGGAATCTAAACATGGAAACAAAAAACATAATATACATATGTTAGAACAGGTCCTTTGGTTAAAAGCACTATTGAAAGTTATTGTTAAAAACAGAAATCAAAACTTGATTATGTGCCCCTGATTTGCCCCTAAGGAAAACAAATGAGTAACAACATGACACATGTTTTACATAAAGGTTTTCTACATCCATTTGCAGATATACTGTAAGCAACATGCCCGTTCTGTGCATGCGCCAAGTCCCGCTAGGAGGATAAACACGCACATGCACATAGCAAGTCTTGGCCATGGAACGACGCGGCGTATGGCGCACATGAAGTGACGCGCATACGCCGCGACTCACAAGAAAGACGCACCAAAGGCGCACAGGAAGTGATGTACATGATTGGCCCACTTCCCTATATAAACCGGACCAGCATGTCACTTAGTTGCTGGATTGTCTTCTAAGCTCCTGTTTGTGTATTGTATCCTGTCCCCTGCCTTGTCTTGAATATCATCGTTTACCTGGATTTTGACCTGTTTCTGCCTCAACTACCTTCCTCAATTGCTGCCTGCCTTTTTGACCTCGGACTGTTTATTGGATTATTTTTCTTCAAATTCCCTCGGTACTGCATCTGACCTCCCGGCTTTTGACCTCGGCTTGCCTTGACTACGATATCTGGATTACCCTTCTGCTTGCACGGTTTCACAACCACTGGCACTCGTGCCACTCTGTGTCTGACTGGCCTCTGTCACCATCCTCAAAGTCCATAAGACACGAGGTGCAAGGGAAGCCTCCTCACCCATCTAGTCTCCCAGACCAGGTGCGTGATATATACTTTACTTTCACCTAAAACTATCTGATATCGAAGCTGTTTCTTTGAAAGATGTTTCCTTAATGCAATGAGTTAAGCTTTCCCCTCCAATAGGTTTTATGACTGACTTTTGCAACATACAAACAACTTAGATGGCCAATTAAAACTTTAAGAGAATACAGACATGCTTAGTTGTGGTGTGAAAGGGAGCACATAGAAAACAGTTGTTTCGATGTGTCCTTGCAGAAACCTGCATTGATCAGGTACAGAAAAACACAGGTCTCTGCACATGGTGTGAATGAGTTCTTAGGATGAAAGATTTGTCATCTGTAACATGAAAATGACTTTTAAAGACTGAAATATAACCTAACTTTAAGCACAATATATTTGCAGCTGGGTGATAAGTCATTTCATTTGTAATATTGGACTCGAACCAAAACTAGAGAGTGTGAGGAAGGATCAGAACCTCTGTCATGTTTGAGCGTTGTCTGTGTCCTTTTATGGGAGCTTTCCCCTCACTTCCTGTCTCAGAATGGTTAACTGGAAAGGAAGTGAAAGAAAATCTCGCAAATGGTGATGCAAACAGCTATAAAAACAATATTAAGTAGGGTGGAGAAGGGTCAAAACCTCTGTAGGCTTTTACTGTAGTTTGCGCTCACTAAAGGGTCACTAAACGGAAGGTAAAATCTCCCTTGTGAGATTACTAACCTTCACCACTTTACCGCAACACTTTGTCTAGAGTTTTGCTTCAACTATGATTAAATTATCAAATTATCCAATTATCACACAGGGGTGCCAAAATCAAATGTGCAGCATTTGTACTGGCTGCTTTACGGACTGGTAATCAGCAGTGTGAAAATCCTGGAGACAAAAGTGGAATTTCATCTACATTGTTGGGGTACAAAAAGATCGATAAAGTTGTCACCTTTATAATCAACACATACATATATAATCAATATTAAATGGCTTTTTCATATAATATTTCATATATACAGTGCATTCAGAAATTTTAATTTTTGTTATGTTGCAGCCTGATACTACTGTTGTTTAAATTCTTTTTTTGCTCTCTCATTAATCTACGCTCAGTGCCCCATAATGACAAAGTGAAAACAGAATTTTAGAAATGTCTGTTGAATTATTAAAGAGAAAAACTGAAATATCCCATTGGAATAAGTATTTAGACCCTTTGCATCAACACTTGAAATTTAGCTCAGGTGCCTCCCATTGCTTTTGATCGTTGCTGTTTTTACACCTTGATTGGAGCCCCCCTGTGGTAAATTAAATTGATTGGACATGATTTGGAAAGGCACACACCTCTCTATAGAAGGCCTCACAGCTGACAATGCATATTGTAATAGAGCAAAAGCCATGAGGTCAAAGAAACTGCGTGCAGAGCTCAGGGACAGGTTTATTGCAAGGCATAGATCTGGGGAAGGCTACAAAACAATTTCTGCTGCACTGAAGGTTCCCCAGTTTTTTATTTTTAATAAATTCACAGACATTTCTAAAATTCTGGTTTCACTTTGTCATTATGGGGTACTAAGCGTAGATTAATAAGAAGAAAAAAAATAATTTAAATAACTGTAGTATCAGGCTGCAACATAACAAAATTAGAAAAAGTGCATGTGCATAGCTGGGTCCGAAAGGAAGGGAGACACACCAGCAGAAGCACCTGCTCCCACCAGTCAGGTACGCGATCTGCGACCGCAAGCCTGACAGGAATTTCCACTCGCCTGCACTGCATTTCACACACTGAATGACCAGATTAGTATGACCTGAGCACCGGACGTTTGTAGGCAAATTAGCTATAATTAGCTATAATTTTGTGCTGAAGTTGCTAGAGGGCCAGACCATTATAAATAGGGAAGCAGGTTGTTTACCACGACAGTAGAAGTGATTTTTTCTGAAGATATGGGTAAACAACGCGATTTAACAGCCTTTGAACGTGGGATGATTGTTGGCGCGAGCCATGGAGCGAGTATCAGCAAAACAGCAGAATTCGTTAAATGTTCAAGAGCAGCTGTTGTTAAAGTGTTTAAAGACTGGACTGTCAGCCGAAAATCTGGGTCTGAACATGCAAATTGTGGTCGTCAGCGACTAGTCAATGTTACGGCAGAACGGAGAGTGGCAAGACTGGTACAAGACAACAGAAGGGCAACAGTGCAGTGTCAGACTCCTCGCATCACCTTTCAACATCTCGTGGAGTCACGAGGCGGCCCAACGAAGTCATCTCGCGGAGTCATCTCGTGGCCCAACGTAGTACTGATGGGGTGGTCATAATAATATGGCCACTCAGTGTATATACAGACACACACACACTTTTCCCATAATCTTTATTTGTAATGTTAATCTCACAAAAAAATTGATTAACAGCAATCCCAGTGAGACAAGCTCTCCATGCTACTTTTAAATCTCAGCTATTCCCCTGATGGACCCCCTTCTCCCTTACCAAGATCTTGGATTAAAATTCACCCCACAACAATACTGTATTTTGCTCACAAATCCTCTATTTCTGGGACATAGGAGGCTGGATAAAAATCCTGAAATATCATGGAACCTATCCATAAAACAGTGGATGTTTGCTTAGTCATGCAACCAGCCACATATTCTCCATCTCAATAACTTCACATACAAGATTTATAAAAACTCTCTATTGATACATCTTTTAAATACCGCCAGAGCATGTATCCTAGTCACATGGAAGCAACCTAATCTACCAACAGTAGACCTGTGGTTTCACAGGATGAACCAACTATGCTGATGGAGGACTTCATCGCCTCCTTACACGGTAAACATGACAAATTTAATTCTACCTGGTATGTCTGGATTCGATTAACCACTTTGTCAGACTAGCAGACGGTGCTTACATCTTCAAGAAAGCGGGTGGGTTAAGAGGATCTAACAAGGAGGTGGGAGCCAATCAGTCCCAAATCACCATCTCTTTCCACTCTCCCCCATCCTTGTACAGGCCCTGCTTCCTGTCTTCCTACCAACCCTATCTATCTTTCGCGCCCACTCTCCCAATCCCGCTCTGCCTAACTCTTTGCTTCTTCCACCCACACTTCTCAATCCCGTACCCCTTTTTCATAACTATTGCCTTCCTTTCCCACTCTTTTTTAACCCTTACTATAAGTTACCTCCATTTAATAGAAAACAAAATGGAATGATAGGGAAACACAAGTACATCAGATGGCCATCTTGTCATATGTGGGGATTATTTGGAAACTTTTCTGCTTTAAAAGCTATACTATGTTCTGTACATAACATTTAACATTTAAAGTCATTATAATGTCTGTATCTTCTCATGCTCAACAAATTAAAAACACGAGATTAACCTTGTTTGTTTACTGAAAGCATACAGTAATTCCAAATAAAATCTCCCTAGAACAAATATTAGGGGGAAAAAACATACAGGGGAGGGGTGAAAAATGTCCCCTCTTATTTCTAAGGACCAGATCCAAGTGAAAGGTGACCATCAGATCAAGGGTTAACTGCTCATTTTGGTCTAGGGGCCGGGATACAAAAGATATACTCACCTGATACATGGTCCTGCGGCAGTCAGCACTCACCTCACCGTTTCGCTCTGGCATGTCCCTCAGCGTCTTCAAATCTAATACAGGTGGATTGATCTGCATTAGATGTGATACAGTCACGGGTCATTAGAACACCGGAACACAGAGGAGAAGAGGCTGGGGGACCAGTCTAGCAGCCAGGAGGAACCGAGGATGAGGTGAGTAAATTTTGTTTAATGCAGCCAAAATGAGTCGTTAACCCTTGCAGTGCAGGGGTAGCCCCACTGCAAAGGTTAATTTTGTAAATTCCTGGAGTTCCTCTTTAACTGTTTTTTTTCTAGCTGATGTTTTTATTGGTTAAATTTTTCAAACTATTAACATTTAATCTGTTTTTATCTATGTTAATATTTTTTTCTTTTTAGTGTCACTTTTAGGGATGCAGCAATATAGATACCGGTATGGGTATAAGTGCCGATACTGAGTACTGGTAAAAAATACCCATATACTAAATGCAGAAATTGGCGCTTTAAATTTTTAAACATAAGCAACTACCTGAGGTCCCGCACTTCCTAGGGACCTTGGCACAACCTTCCTGTGAACCAAACGGTGTCTGTTTACAGCGCCGGCCGCCTCCTCCTTCCCAGGGGGAACCACACAGCGCTGCTTACCGTGGTGAGACCCTGCACAGCCCATCTGAGACCC